GAGGGAGAGAGGGAGAGAGGGAGAGAGGGAGAGAGGGAGAGAGGGAAAGAGGGAGAGAGAGGGACGAAGGGAGAGAGGGAGAGAGGGAGAGAGGGAGAGAGGAAGGGAGAGAGAGAGGGGGAGGGAGAGAGGGAGAGAGAGGGACGAAGGGAGAGAGCGAGAGAGGAAGGGAGAGAGAGGGAGAGAGGAAGGGAGAGAGGGAGAGATGGAGAGAGGGAGAGAAGGAGAAAAGGAGAGATCGAGAGACGGGTAGACTATAGGGGGGGATAGGGAAAAGAAAGGGAGGGAAAGAGTGTGAGATAGGAGGGAGAGAGGGATTACGGAAAGAAGGGGGAGTGCACACACTTGCGAGAGAGAGATATAGACTCATCTGCTCTGAAGTTTACCTACGAACTAAGTCTTACACAGAGATTCGACATATGACACTCATGAGCATTCAGGCATGCGTGCAGTCTGGCAGAAATCTCACCGATATATCATGACTTTCTTCGACTGGCCGATACGATGGGCTCTGCTGAACGCCTGGATGTCGTTGTGGGGGTTCCAGTCCGAGTCATAGATCACAACCTACAAGTACCAAAGCAACGTAGACTTGTTAGTGAACTGATGACGCCGCCAAAACCCATGCAGGCACAATCAAGACGCACAACACGCTCACACACATGCACAACACGCACGCTCACACACACACACGCACACCCACACACACTCACACACGCACAGCCACGCATGCACCCACACACACACGCACACAGTTACTCTCGCATGTACCCACGCATGCACGTACCCTCCCATACACACACACTCACTCACGCACGCGCTCACACACGCAGGCAACAACCACAAATAATTGACGACGACGTCCCCGCCGCGCTGCGGACGCCACGCACCGTGTCGGCAGACGCCAGGTTGATGCCGAGGCCTCCAGACTTGGTCGACAGCAGAAAGACAAACTGGTTGGCGTTGACGCCGTTGAACCTGTCGATCGCCTCCTGACGCGCCTGTCCCGCAGTGCTGCCATCTAGCCGCTCGTAACTGAAACGCCGCGACAAAAACCGATGACAACGAGCAAAAGAGAGGTGAAACCGCGCAGTTGTGTGCGCAGTCGTGTGCGCACCCGTGAACGCAATGTCCACGTGTGCGTTCGTGCTTTGCGTAGCTACATGCACGTTATTATGCTGGTTTTTAAATCCGGGATCGCGTGACTGTGTGCGTGTGTTGTCTGTGTACTCGCATGTGCTACCTGTACGAGCAGCCAGAGTGCGCCGCGTGTACCTGTACGAGCGGCCACAGAGGGCGCCACGTGTACCTGTACGAGCATCCGTCGAGGAAGTCCTCGAGGATGTCGAGCATGCGCGTCATCTGCGAGAAGATGAGCACGCGGTGACCCTTCTCCTTCAGCTTCCTCAGCATCTTCCAGAGCAGCGTCAGCTTGCCGGACGCCTTGATGAGCGCCGTCGTCTCGTAGGCGCCGTTAGACATGTGCGGTGCCTCCTGAAGCAAACAGAGAGAGGCGACGCGGTGAAGGACAGCAACTGCGGTTTGTCAACAGATGACCGGTCGAAAAATCGTCGTCGGCAACGGATGCCGGGGGCCGGCACGCGTCATTAACGCCAGACTGACGGTTAGCACAACTCGATTTGTCGACAGAAGAAAACAACTTGCAGGTACATCGACCGACCTGACCACAAAGATGAACGCGAAAGACTGACAAACATCGTGAATGTGACGGGTGGCCTCACGCCAAGAACACAAGCTACGATCAGGAGGGTTACTACTTAACTTACTTACAGAAGGTTTATTAACATCGGATATAAGGTTAACGCTAGACACTGCGTTAACAGCTCGGTCCGTTTGCCATCAGCAACAGAAACGGAGTTGCGTGTGTGGGTGAAGGGGGGGAACTTACGCTGGCGGCGGAAGCGAAGAGGTACGGATGGTTGCTGCACTTCTTCAGGTCCATCATGATGTTGAGCAGCGACGTGTTGCTGCCGCTTCCCTTCGCGTTGAGGCCCTCAAAGTTCCGCGTCAATATGTACTTGTACAGTTTTCTGCAGGACGGAATTTTACGATGAGCGATGTTGAGACGTAACGGCAGTACGCAATGCGCGCGCAGCCAATTAGAACAATGAAGATGATTAATTGCATATAGAACATTATCAGCGGGCCCTTAATGCTACTTGCAGTAGCTGGAATAGAAGAGGACCATCTAGTCAATAAATCAACCCAATCACTCAGATGGATCAAACACTTAATATAAGTAGTACTATTAGTACTTAGATAATAATACCAATAACACAATTAATAAATACAATATCGAACAGATATTCGGAGATATACTGTCTATAACCAATCAATAAATACAACGCAAATACACGGTGGCAAAGCAAATCACTAGGGAGCAAGCGGGATTGAAGGCAGGGGAAGCGGGAGCAAGGGAGGGGAGTGGTGAGCCGCAGTAGGAGGGAGCGAAGTGGGGGGCAAGCAACAAGAAGAAGGTAAACGCGATCGAGCGGGGAGAGGTCACTAAAGCTGCAGCTCGTTAACGCCCGCTCGTTAAGCGTACTTCTGCAGCGGGCTGAGGTCGACGCGCACGATCATCTCGCTCTTCGCCGGTATGTCCTTGAGCACGTCTGACTTGAGGCGACGCAGAAGGTGGGGCGCGAGCAGGTCGTGCAGCTTCTTCACCTGGTCCTCCTTCGCGAGGTCGCTAAACTCGTTCTGAAACTCATCGAGGTGCCTGCAACGAACGACGCGCGCGGTGACGACACGGCGAAGACAACACGCGGTCATAACCCTCGGTGACAAGTTGACAACACGCAATGACAAAACACGGTGATGATGCGCAGTGACAACGCAAAATAACGGTGAAGTGACGCGCTGGAAGCGAGACTCGACCGATTCTTCCGAATAAAGTCGACCAGATTAATGACGAGTTAATAATGATAGCCGATTAAAGATTTAATTACAGTGACGAGGAACAGCTGTGAATGCTGCCACAATTTAAGCTCGGCTAGGGAACAAGTCTTGAGTGACAAAAATCGAAAGGAAAGCCGAACGACATTCCCATTTCAGGATTTTTCTCTGCAGAGTTCAGATAAATGCATATGATAACTTTGTAAGACTCCCATGCCTGCCTACTAACTTCAATCAAGGGTTTAACAGGCAATTTGAATTACGCAGTGGCTACGCGTCCGGTCATCCATTACGAAGCTCAGCACAGATTCCCAAATCCAAGTCCCGATTAGGCCATGCCCTTTTCAAATCGTTGATTTTATTGGATTTACTATTGCTTCAAAAGTTACAAAAACACATTTTTTGGATAAAATACCTAAAGGTAAGTAATATTATGGTAAAAACTTATTGTTTATTGTTTTTTACTGAAAAAATATAGTTGGGTTCACATAAGAAATATATGACCGGACGCGTAGCCTGGGAGCTGGGCGTCCGGTAACCGGACGCGTAGCCACGGCCTTTTAATTACTAGCAGTAGCACCCAAGCCACTCACAACGCAGAGGAACATGCAAACAAGAATAACGCAAACTCACGTGAACTCCTCGGGGCTGAGGAAGTTCAGCAGGTGGAAGAGTTCCTCCAAGTTGTTCTGTAGCGGTGTTCCCGTCAGCAGCAGCTTGTAGTCGATATGATACTGGCTCAGCACGCGGAAGAACTGCATCGAACAACGTCGCCATGGTTACCGACGATAACAACGTGAAGCCAGGCTACACTAGACAATGACACAGCCGACACACATCGACGCAGATCGCGGTCGTCCTTAACCCTCTGGTTACCGACCCAACACCAAATCGTCATGCCATCTAAACACAAATAAGTTCCTGCACAGTACAAACAGCCGGAAATCTCCAAGTTGCCGACCTAGATTTATTCATGGCAGAGCCGGCTCCACAACTAGCATCTAACCCCCGAGGCCAAGAGCCAAAAAACGTGACACGCCAGTCAAAAGGTCGCTGCGTGTACATGCAGGGGGCGCTGCGTCCGCATGTAGGGGACACTGCGTCCACAATTAGGGGGCACTGCAACTACATGTAGGGGCATAGCAACTACATGTGGGGGGCACTGCAACTACATGTAGGGGGCACTGCAACTACATGTAGGGGGCACTGCAACTACATGTAGGGGGCACTGCAACTACATGTAGGGGCATAGCAACTACATGTGGGGGGCGCCGCCCTCGAACATAGGAGGCTTCGCACCGCGGGCTACGCGCACAAGAAAGAGGGGGTGCTCACCAGCGACTGGTTGTTCTTGAGGCGGTGGGCTTCGTCGACGACCAGGACCTTCCAGTCGATGGAGCTGAGCATTACCTGGTCGACGGAGATCAGCTCGTACGACGTCAGCAGCACGTGGAACTTCACCTGCATGCCCTTCTGCAATGCGTCAAAAACATCACACAGCTCGTCAAAGCCATATTTACGATAATTATCTAGTGTTTTCCCCAACTTTTATGACTGTTTAATTACCTCGAGTAACAGCAACTGTCTAAAGTAACGATAAAATGTATTAGAATCTTCTATTTCACCAAAACAGGCAAGTTCGATTACCAGCGAGCCTTTTCTTGTAATCTTGGACCAGTTAGAACCGCCCCTAACGCCAGCTATCGTCCATAGACTTATTTACATGTCTCTTGCAAAATCTCGTTTGCACCGACAAGTTACAAGTTGACACATTTTGATAGTGTCCCGGCACGATTGTTTTACGATGTGTTCATATACAATTTTCTATGCTATAACTGCATAAAATCTTAGTGTTTTTCAAGTTATTGTAATCAGTGATATATCCACTGTGAGGTGAGACTATATTTCGCTATATTTTTTCGAACCGAGCGTTTCTGAGAAAAAATCTCATAATAAAAACTTTAAAGGTCGCCGTCGCAAGCGCCCGACTACGTCGTCGGGATATCGGAACGCTCGCACAACTTGTTACGTTTCGTACGAGAGACGTGGGCGTGCTCCGTCAGAGTAATCTCACGTGGTCACGACTACGACGAATCGCAAAACGTCACAACTTTTATTTTTTTATATTTAAAGTGAAGCGCTGAGCAAAAGTTATGGCAAACAACAATTTTTTTAATGGCGGCCCCAGCTTGACACTCTCGTCACTGCCACCAAGGCAAGTAGCGCGCACATCTGCGTTCCCGATGGCAACCGTCGGACCTACCTTGAGGCTGCCGGGGCCTCGGCTGTTCCTCCGCAGTGCATTCTCACTGAACGACATCTCCCAATCCCTGCAAGCACACGCAAACGCACGTTTGATCACAACACTGCGACTCACTACATCTACATCTACTCTTCACCACCAACACACCCACCGTTGCCCCCCATACTCGTAGATAATTCCTTGATAATTATTCGGTCCTAATATATAATTGTGTTACATGCATGAAAAGTCAAAATCATAATACATGCGTAAATATGTTGCGCCAAACTGCAACCAAACACTGAAGCTGTAGCCATGACTAGACCAGTGACAAAACAGTTTCCTAACATTTCAAGGGGTACAATAACAGGTAAGGAAAAATGTCCTTTTGCAATTACGTGTACTTAGTACCCCCCACAATTAATCACGAATACACGTAATTTAACTAGATCGATGGCCACGTTAACCCCGACGGCCGCGTTAACCCCGACGGCCGCGTTAACCCCGACGGCCGCGTTAACCCCGACGGCCGCGTTAAACCCGACGGCCGCGTTAACCCCGACGGCCGCGTT